ATTAACACATTTACTTCGTCTATTTAGTAGTAACTTAAATTACGTATCGGAAGATGCAAGTTTTTAACAAAATTAATTTCTATCACAAGTACATTCCCACCCAAACGTCGAAAATATATTCGTATTTGTATGCTGTCTTCAACTTACCACTTCCCTCAAATGTAGTAGCAAAATCGCTTCTCAGAAAGAATCACACTCTGAGCTAAAAGAAAACTTATTGATACGTGCAGAAGAAGCACTAATTCCGGTTATTTACAGACTAAAGAAAACAAGTCATATCGATGGTTGTTGAAATGCTACGGATCTTGAGATTTGTCCTCTCGATGATCACTTGCGGAGAACGTTCTCTATTCAACAGAACGAAAGCGATATAGCTATTCGCTGAAACAACCTGTCAGAGATAGTTTCAGCTACGTAAAAGCGTGAGGAAAAGATCAGGGACAGAATTTCGAATGTAATTATTTTGACGACTGAATATCTGGAATGCGAATGAATCTAATCAACAGCTCTCCATTCGAAAAGTATTATCATAATTGAATATTGTAATAGATTTATTTGACTCGATGAGTTTAAGTTTATGTAAGATTCCTAAGTGAGACTTTTGATCAGCTACTCTTCTAACTAGTAATTCACACTTATGGATGGTTTCATATTTCTTCAATTCGCACAACTAGGTGCAACGCTACTGAAAAGAAGAGTAATTTTTCTCAACAGAAATAGAATAATTTGTATAGAACTCGTTCTATATGTTTAACGCGACTATTGTCGCCGTAATTTCATCAAGATTCGGTGTGAATAAGAATTTCTTTTGTAAATCAAAATCAACTTCCGTAAGAAAATGTGAAACTAGGTCAATGCAATCTTCCGCCCTTTTCTCGACTACATAGCATAAGTAGCAAATATTTGACGTGTTATAAAATAACATGTTTTGCAGAAAATATTGTATCGGTAGAAGAAGAGGCTGAACAAGAATTTCATGAGCAGAGCTTTCCATTGTCTTTAGAAAAATCATTGTACTTCAAAGTATACTTTTTGATCCCATATCATTTCACGAGCTCTTTCTACTTGACTGATTTGAATAATGTATTTAAAATTATGTCGCGATGAATAATAGACAATCAACTACGTATTCAATTTCCAATAACAACAATTGAGCACATTCTTCTACTCTATGACTTTTGATTTAGAAAGATCGTCTTAAGTCTACAATGATCAAGATTTCATCGAAGAAAGTGCTCAACTGTGTGCGGTATTCTTATGTCACTAGAATATTTCACCTTCGCTCGCATTGGTCTCATAGAAAATTTGACGATGACCTTAAATCAGTGTTTTTTCACCCATAAAAGAAACAAAAAAAGTTTTATAAGAATTCGCTTGATGAATAACTATACGTATTTTCAACCACATTGTCAATTATCTGTACATTGTATTTCGAATGAACTATCTTCACCTACTGACATCTGTTGTCAACGATTTATATATGTCAAACAAAGCTTTTTTGTGAAAACTAAACATATAAATAAAGTGATAGAGTAGATTTGATTGGTGGACTCGCAATGTGGGTCCTAAGGTCTATTTTGTTGTTTTCATATTTTGTTTATTAATCGTCTTATTTATTTGATATTCACGTGAATTAATTACGAAATATTTCATTATGAAATTTCTTGAACTTTGTGTATTTAAGATCTCTAGTTCTTCGTCATTTTTCGTTTGAAATTCAGTATCAACTACATCTAATAGACAATGCCGAAAAACAAAGGAAAAGGTGGTAAAAATCGTCGTCGTGGTAAAAATGAAAACGACGATGTCAAACGTGAATTAATTCTTTGCGAAGAAGGACAATCCTATGCTCAAGTGACACGAATTCTAGGCAATGGACATTTAGAAGCATTCTGTTTCGATAATGCGGGAGGAAAAAAACGCTTATGTCACATTCGAGGTAAATTACGAAAGAAACAATGGATTAATCAAGGTGATGTTATCCTTGTCGGACTTCGAGATTATCAAGATGATAAAGCTGATGTTATCATGAAATATCATGGTGAGTGTCAAGACTTCTAACAAACTTCGTCTCAGTCGTTTTTCTCTCTTGTGTTATAGCCGATGAAGCTCGGGAATTGAAACGAATGCACGAAATTCCAGATAATATTAACATTACTGAAACATCGAATAGTACAAATGAAGGATTAGAAGATGTCATTTTCGATGAAAGACACAATGATGATGAATCCAGTGAGGACGAAGATGGTTTACCACATAATGCTGGAGATCGACGAACTGGTAATGAAAGTCCTTCAGAAGATGATTCCGATGATGATGAAGACGATGCTGGTGGTTTCTACAATCCGAATCGAATGCCTAAAAAGACCGGCAATTTGAATGCACGAAACTTAATCGGAACGAAGAAAGATTCTGGTAAAGGTGCACGCAATAATCAACGAGACGTAATCTCAGGTTCAGATTCGGATGAACGTGACGAACTCGCACACATCTAATGTATGCATAGATAAAGAAAAGCAATCAATTATAAGTTTCGCTTCTTTTTCTTTGTCATCATTGAGCTATTTTTCAAAATCATATCGATGCAATAAACTACATTCTTCAATGCTTTTCTTCTGTGTATCGCATCAAAGATTGAATTAAGTTTATACAAAAGAAACATGACTTGAATCAGAACTTTTAACTTGATTAATTTCAATAAACTATCGATCAAGAAATGATTTAGAGAGATCATAACAAAAAAAGTCACAACTATTTCTAACGAATATTAATGGTGAATAAATGATTACAGTTTTTTGTACTGATATCTGTTCGAAATCATCTAACGGAAATCAATAAAACAGATCGTCATCGATAGCATTCGATCAACACGAGGTAAAAGCTCAGTGATTGATCAATGAACGGAATACCTCAATGACTGCCAACTTTGGAAGTCAGTTAATGGTTCCTATCCAGCAGTAACACCTGGCAGAGCAGCCACTGATACAAAAATTCAAATGGTGGCAACTCTACTGACATCAACATTATCGATTACATTTCGTCTTTTTCTTTGTCATCATTATCATGTCGAAGTCGTTAATTATGACGTCATGCAATTATTTAGCTATATATATATATATTTGTATAGATAGAAAAACAAAACAAAGAATACTATAAATGAAACCGTTTCCGAACAAATGAACTGATTAAAATCGTAAATTGAGATTGAGATCGGGTAGTTTAATATCTTTGATCTTTTGCGGTAAATTCATTTCTTTCAATGCCGTCATGGCTTTGGCTGGTGCTGCTGATATTCCCGCTTCTTGCTTTTCTATCTTCGATTGTTCATCCACTCGTGCAACAACTTCGTTCAAATTCGTTTCTAAAACCATTCCACCGAAACAAATCTCCTGAAGAATATAATGAACTTTGTCGGCATGGAAGATTAAGTCAAGTTCACAAACATTCTAAACATTACACGTAATTTGTTTCTTTTCATTTGAAGAATAAACTCCTGTTCGTTTACCTCAAAGCATTTGTCTAATGTTTCGACGAAAACTTGGATCAAATCCAAAATACCTAATTCACTTTCTGAGCTGTCAACACAAAATATGAAATACAACGTCGCATAATGACGATAGATCAATCGGCAATCGTTGTCGCCAAGAATTGATCCACCTTCGAGGAAATTACAAACATTATCATCACGTTTCGATACTAATTGATAGGTATCACGAAGAATTCGCTGTTGAACTTCTTCGGGATAATGTTCGAAGAACTTCACTAGTCTCGGTTTAGCAGAGTTATTGAAAACAAGGATTGCTTTAATCATAGTTACAGGATAAACATAATCTATTTATATCTGAAAGAAAAAAAAACAATCGATCAACAAGGTTATTACACCGTACGAATGTATTCAAGCAGAACAGCAACAAATATTTTCACATTCATTTGCGAAAAAGAAAAATGGGTAATCAAAATAACAGAGGTAGAACCTTAACCGACTACGATATCAGACTTTTCAGTCAACAAAGTCAATTGCCACCGCATATTATTCAACAACTCTATGAAGCATTTATTGAACGTGCTGGAAAAGATGGACGGTAAAGAAATGAACAACGATTTTCTTTCTATAGAAGCTGTTTTGTTTGATTCAGGATGACAGTGAGTGATTTCAAGAAATCGTATTTAGAAATCAATCCCAATGCTAGTCCGTACAATTTGGATAGTGAAGCTGAACGTATGTTTTTGTTTTTGTCGATAATTCTCAGGTTAATTTCGTTTTTCTTTAGGAGTTTTTATAATGTTCGATCGAGATCGTAATGGTAGGAGTGAAAATCGGAGAAAATAAACCTTGAAAGTAGATTTTGTGTATAGGAGTCCTAACCTTCGATGAATTTATGATGGCATATGTTTTGCTACAACGTGGTGTTGATACTCCGGTGAACCGTTGGCAATATGTGATCAGTGCAATGCCCACCGGTGTTCTCTCACGACCTGGTTTTGTTAATTCAGGTGAAGCGCTTCAACTTCTCCAACAATTGAATCAATTCTATCAAATTCCAAATTTCGAACCTGTTGCGCAACATAATATCGTTTGGACTCAATTGACTCCTCAATTAGATCCAACAGGATACATTCCTCAAGCTGAATTTCTACGTGTTATCGCAGCTCAGCCGAGTATTCAACCACATATCTGGTGAACACTGTTCGAACTATAAATTTTTCTACATCTATCCATAATTTCAGCATTCATCAAAAATAAAACTCACGAAAACATCAATAGTTCCTCTTCCCACTCATTCTTCTCTCATCTTTGACAGAAAAAAATGACACAGTATGTTTGTTACCGGTATTTTCCAGAGCCTTGAAAAGCACATGCTTGTTATACATATACGTATATTTAATATAAATAAATCTAGAATAATCAAACAAAGTAAGGATATGTTTGTAAAAAATACAACTCATAGAAGAGTCTTAGTTTCAAAGGAAACTTTACTGTATCAGCAAAGTGTAGTTGTTTAGTTACTATATTGTCTGCGCGTAGACTCTACATAATGGTTTTGAAGTTTCGCCAGATCATGATGATAAAAAATACTGCAAGTTAACGCATAAATAATCGTTCTTTGTGGATCGATCTCTGTATAAGTCAGCAGATTTGGGCCAGTGGAGTTGAATTGAAGCTCTTGAAATGGCATCTTAGTTTCATGGGGCTCGATAAACGAACGATATCGGCCACAATCTTTGTTAATTGTACGATAAGCGGAAATGTACGGATAGAGCAAGGTATTACGGAAGACATTTTCCAAAAGCGAGTAAAATTGCATAAGAGTAACGCAGTTATCTTTCGTAAATTCTCTACGCTGAGAGAATTTATCACGCATTTCGACCAATGGCTTTATCCAATCGTAGAATCCTGAGCTCTTCAGTGTGTTTATCCACTGATTTGCTTGACACTTATTAAATAAAGCTGCTTGGTGAGAAAATATATCCGAAGAATCGTTACAGTCACCGAAGAACTTTCTATATCCATCATAGGTCATCAGAGTCTAAAGCATAGAATACAACATTCAAATAACATGAATTGTTTCAGGTAGAATATCATCTAACCTGGATACCTGGAACGAGAGGCAACTTGCTATTAGATGTTTGATTAACACTGTATGCCATTATTTATTTAAAAAAAACGTTTCATAATCGATTCACAAAATCGTTATTTTACTCGACATATTATCTATCATTATCGTGTCATTGGATTTTTCTCATGTCTGGACCAATTGCGTTTGCACAAGATGTCACCCTTCTCTAGATGTAACTCAACTTTTCAACAGAATACTTCAAACACAAAGTTATCGTAATGTCTCATCGACGCAGCCAAGACCGAATAAAGAAAACCAACATTGATGTTTATCAGTAATCGAATTGACATCGATAAATAAGTCGAAATTATACTAAAGTGATCCTTTCTTTACTTCGTCATGCCTCTAGAGAAAACATTCAAGATGAAATCTAATTATCTGAATAATTCTTTCTTTATTACAAAAAAATCTATCGACAACAATCATCGAATACATTATCTCTCAACTCTCCTTCGAATAATGTAGACATTGGCACATAAACTTGCCGCATCATAGATGCTCCAGATATATTGGACAAGAAATGTCAACACTAGACACTTTTCGTATTATCTGGCTAGATGATATGTCGATGTTAATGACATCAGAGGAGAGATAATTATGTTTGTGAAAGCTTTTTTTACAAACAACCAACAACAAATATTGATGACTAGATAAATACATCGTCGGATAATATCTAACAAGCTTCAATACATATTGCAATGCCCATTCCACCCCCAATAGATAAAGCCGCACAGCCTCGTTTCAAACCTGTACGTTTGAGTGTATGAATCAACGTAACAAGAATTCGCGCACCTGAAGCTCCTAATGGATGACCAAGTGCAATGGCACCACCATTAACATTTACCTATGATAAACAATGAAGGATCGATTGGTATGACAACAATATTAATAAAAGAAAAGTAGTACTTTTTCAGGATCAATACGAAGTTCACGAATAATAGCGACAGCGTGAGCAGCGTAAGTCTCATTCAATTCTAAGATATCAATTGTTTCGATGGGCCAGTTTGCCTTCCGTAAAGCTTCTTGAATCGCTTTTACTGACGCTAGGCCCTTAAGTGGATTGAAGTAGACTGACGATGAGTGCACAGCGAATCTACTTACCATTATAAGTGGATCGATTCCTGTTTGAGCCCATGATACGATTTTTGCAAGAGGAGGTTGCTGTTTTAATTTTGCCGTTCGATATGAACACAGAACAAAAGCAGCTGCTCCATCGGCCAAACCTAAAGAATATAATTTAAAAAAGAAGAATACACAATTGTGGAAAACTACCTGCAGCATTGCCCGCTGTGACTGTTCCCGCTAGACAAAACATGACAAAAGCTGATGAAGATCGTCTAATTAAATCAATGTACCTTCTTTAAATATGGTTTCTAATTTTGACAACGAATCAAGTGATGTGGCTTTCTTTGGACATTCATCGTACCGAATTTCGAGATCGTCTGTTAAAAAAGATAACATCTAGTCAAGGCAATTCTGCTTTTTCTCTAGTACTTTTTGCACTTGATATGATAATTGGCTCGATTTCCGCGTCAAAATGTCCGAGTGATACGGCTTCCTCACATTTCACTTGAGATTGTAGAGCAAATCCATCTTGATCCTGCCGTGTTACATTACAAGTTTCAGCAATATTTTCCGCTATGCGAAGAAAAACAAAGAAATTCCCAAAACGAAGATATCATTCCTACCTGTAATTCCCATATGGACATGATTGAACGCATCAGTCAATCTAGAAGTAGAAGCAACTATCGAAAATCAATTCTCAATATTTTCCTCATTTACCCATCGTGTACCACGGAATCAACAAACGAATTATCACCCATTTTCTTTCCGTGTCTCATCAGAATACAATGGGGCGCTTGACTAATACTTTCCTGTCCACCAGCGATGATAAGATTCGAATCACCGGACCGAATAGCTTGAGCGGCAAGTGTAACCGCCTTCAAACCTGATCCACAAACCATATTAACTGTTGTTGCTGGAATGAAATAAGGTACACCACCAGTACGAGCAGCTTGCCGTGCAGGATTTTGACCTTCATTCGCTGTTAATACTTGACCCATAATAACTTCATTAATCTCATCGGATGTTATCGTTCCTGCTAATTGTGCTAGTGCACCTCTAATTGCAACTCCACCAAGTTGATGAGCTTTTAACAATGCTAAACATCCATTTATTGAACCAATCGGCGTTCGAATAGCGGAGAGGATAACAACATCATTGAGCTCATCGTCCGTGTTCGATGCCATTCTTCAAACTAGAACTAATGAATCCCTAGTAAATACGATATCTACACATTGAGCTGAGATGAGAGAAGAAGGAATAATTTCTTTTCTACACTTCAAACAACATCTATGGAAGAATTTGCCGTTTTTTCATCTATATAATTATCTCAGACTATCATCTCTGTAGATAAAATCGACAAGAAATCGTTCGTTATCATAAAATATTCAATCAGACCGGAAATGCGTTTTCGTACAGAATCAGCGAGAGGAACTCTTGTTTAACAGTCGAAGTGAGGACAAAGGGAATATCTGAGCTGTTAATTACCGATCGAAATATCTGTTTATTGAATCAAGGAACAAATTGTTTAGAAAAGACAAAGAGAAGAAAAAAAGATAATCAAAGTATCGTATATATAACTTAAAAGCAGAGATAGAGAGAGAGAAACGACGAGTAACAGTGTAGAGAAACGAGAATAAATATAGAATAATAATAAAAAAAAGAACGAGAAGAAGAAGAAGAAGAAGAAAAAACATGAGAAGAACTCGACTACTATGACAAGTATCTATCTACGAACGAACAATGTGTCATCGTCTTTCTCGTCATCATCCTCGGCATGTTCGTTGAAGAGTGGCTCTTCCATTGTTGTCGCATTGCTAAGTAATTTATATCTTCTCGATTGACGTTTTTTACGCAACCTAAAAGAGATGGAAAAAAAACTCCTTTCATCTTTTTGAAACTGTTAGATTTCTTCATACATAAACGTTTTCATGATGATGTACATTAGAACCAAACAAGTCAAACCGGCAAGTGCGATGGTACTCCAGATTAAAGTTCGTCGGTCAATCTGTTTAATTTGCTTCTGAATTAATTCCTGTCCCTGAATTAATAACGGTTTTTTGTTTGATAAAACTGTGGTTACAGTTTGATTAAGATGAGTTGTGCTATTCGCGACGATCATTACTGACGTGGTCATGTTACAATAAATTCGAAAATAAAATGGTGCGCTGTAATCTTATTCCATTTGTGAATAAAGATAGATAAAAGAGGAACAAGAGAAATGATTCATAGATCGCGAAATCGAAAGAGGACACTACTCTTCGACAGCAAGATTTCAAAGAGAGTCAAATCTATTTATGTCTGATTAATTTGCTGTTGTCGACTTTAACAGGTTTAGAAACTCTACACGTACGTGACAAGTATCCGTTTATTCGCGTATGTGTCAGTCTTATCACTGAATTAGAAAATTTCATTAGATTGACAATATCACGAAATTGTTAATGCGGTTGTTAGGAGAATTTGTGCTACAAATTTCTTTTAGTCTTTTTTTTCCACTGATGACATCACCGTTCTTATCACCAAATCACCGTAACAATGTTCTTTTCGAAACAACTTCTCTCACATCAAAACAAACGCTTTCCAATGATCTTCACGATATATTTCACATACTGAAACGTACGCCAAATCATCAAGATCTATCCCGGACAAATTGGCCATCACCGACATACATTATTCAAAAGCATACAATTATCAATACACCCCTTTTCAGTCAATATCAACTTTCGCCTTTCTCTCACGATGAAAAACAAGAATTTAATAACATGGCATATTGCATTGCTTATTGTACGATTATTCTCATGGGTAAAATCTCGTCTGTTCATTCACAAACCTTTTAAGAATTTCTCTCAGGTATTTCACTTGGTGGTTGGCTCGGCGGTCTTTTCGAATTTCTAACAAATGGATTCAACGGATGTAGCAATGAACATCGTGGCCATACAAAATGTCAACTGCAATATGCATCTCCAAATGTGACTATTCGTTGTGTTAACATATTCTACAAGAATTTGACGTTGATTAACTCTGCGTTCATATGTCTGTGTCGTTTTCGTAATTCTCCGCAACTGAAATATCGAGATTGCGCATATCTGTATGCTGACATTCGATCTTTTTAACAAAACAGAGAAAACACTTTGATTCTTTTTCATAATCAAATCACTGAAAAATAGATGTCAATCAAAAAAGTAAAATCATCACGAATTTTCAGCGTTAGATAGTTCGCCAAAAATCTATTCCACACCAGCCGATGCTTCGCCTAGATATACAACAATAGAACTGATTCGAAAAAATTCAAGTGAAATTTACCAGCTGCACCACGTCGAAAAGTTTTCTTCACTTCAGGCCGAGCTAATTGCAGACGTCGTAAAAATTCATTCGTTTTACGACGCATATGCGCATGTAAATACGCCTGAGAATATTCAAACAAAATTTGTCAATATGTATAGAAACAAAATCCACCTACTTTGCAACATTTTATATGATAATGAAAGTAATTCCGAAGGATGTAAATCAAGTTAATTGTGTTCTCTCGTGCCGCGGCCTTTGTGTGACGAGGAAAGAGAACTAAATGTAGCGAATAAAAAAAATCCAGATAATTTATGTAGATCTGGCAGGCGATGTGTGCATACCGAACGTTAAATAACCAATATTATCACCTGTGCGAGCATCGGGCGTGCCTTTGAGTTCTTCGGGAGGTGTTCGATAACTAACAATGACTTGCGGGGCTTGTTGAAACTGTTGTCTTCGTTCACGAAGTCCCTTCGAAGAAAACAATTTTCTAAAACTTGAATTCGCGCGATGAAACTCACTTCCATGAAGAAACGTCCGATGACATTATCGTCAGCATCTTTGAATACTGTCGAAAAAATCACAGTCACACGGTCAGATGATGCATTGACATACATAGTTTCATCATCGCGGTAATGTATCACCGCCCGTTTTTGATCGCCAGTTGTTGGTTGCTGTTTACTTTGAAATTCAAAGTATTTTTCGAACACAGCCGCAAAACAATGACGTTTCAGCATCGAAATCTTTCGAACTAATGGTAACCAGACGTCATTGGTTTCACCTTTCGGTAATTGACTGTTAAAATCAAATGATAAGGTTACATCATAACCGCTCAAAGGTGCAACTAATAAATCGCCATATTCACGGCGAAGAATCTAAGTCAAACATGAGTATTTTTGTTTGCATTATACTTTCATCTTACATCATCGGTACCATATTGTTCTAAATCTTGGAAAAATTTCAATTTAATGCTAACAACAAACGGATTATCACGAGAATGTGTAATATGATAAAGTGCCCCGTCGAAATCTAATCGAATGCAAATGTAGAACTTCACACAACAGTGAAAATGTATTTCTTACCGACAACATTGGTTTTGATTTCGACTAATTTTTCTTTACGTAGAAACGTCTCGATTTGTACGGTTAACAATTCTTCTATTATACGATTATGAACTTCGAGAATAATCATCGTCGGGTCAAAACAAATGCAGCGATATAACACAAAAAAAGAATTACTATCAAGTATGTGTGTTGAAGATACACAATTTTGTGGCAATGATTCATGTCGAGAGAGAGGGAGATAAAGATAGAGGGCAACAATTCACAGTGAGTTTTTTTTTCTAAAATAAACGTTTATTCGTAACAAAAAAATCAATGGTTTAGTGGCTAGCGAGAACATTAGAAAAATGATACAATTCTTCTTTCGACTCATACACTCCGATCTCTGTTCCGCACTCGCTGCATAGTACAGGTCGTAGGACTTCCTCGTGATCGCTTTCGTCAGAATGGGTTTCATTAGATTTGAATCGTTTGTTGCTGGACTTCTTTTTCTTCTGTTTCGATTTGGATGAGACAGTAGCGAGGCGATTTTCATCAATCGTGCAATTGAAGACAAACATTGCTCGATATTGATTACGATTCGTTTCGTGTCTAAAAGATAGACTCGGACTCGACTCCATTAAAATCAGCAAGGAATTACCTTTGACAATCGTGACAAACTAAAATCATGCAACCGGGACAATTGAGAACAGCATCAGTTGGTCCAAGCGCAGAACCATCAATTTTGTCGAGATTTTGTACACCCTGAGATCTAAAAGAAACGATGAGAGTCGAAAAGAGTGACACGGGAGAGAAAAACATACTTTAGTCGTTCTCTTGTCATCCATTTTTCATCTTCTTCTTCTTCTTCGGGATCATAGAGTAGATCGTCATTAGCTTTCTCTTGTTCATCGTTGCTCAGTGCGGGTTGATCTGAAAAGATTTAGTTTTGCATAGAAGAACTTTTTCAGAAAAAAAAAACTTACTCGGTTCATCATCGCTGTCGTCTTCATCTACTTGAGAAATCGTCACTTTCTTCGTTCCTTTCGGCTTTTGTGCTAAAAATTAATTCGTTCAATTGGTGATGGATATGAATATGATGAAAGTCTTACTTGATAATGGTAATTCAAATGTTCCACGAGTGATAAAATTCTCATAAATTTGATCTAGCTCATCTTCCATTTCATTGGTGAAAGTATTGGATTTTTTCGTTGTTAAATCTTTATTCTCATCTGTTTTTGACACTGTCTTTTCCAAATATTCATGAAGTGGACGATCGAATTCATCATCCGAACTAAAACCAGAAAATCGTTGAATTCTGTCTCAAAACTTTTCGTTTTACCTGTCAGAATTCTCTTCACCATTCTTTATTGCTGTATTACAAGGAATTTCATCTTCATCCTCACTTGGTTCATTGTCTACTTCATAGCCAGTATAATATTTAAAACGTTGATCGCTCATTTTTCTCACGAGAAGAAGAAGACGACGAAGAATATTGATCTCAAATATTAAGAAATAACAAGGAAACAGCAATTGGTCGAATCTATGTGTATAGATGTCACTAATGCACAATGGATTACTTATACGAACACCGTTGATACTCTAGAGATTCAAAATTTAGGCCCTGGATGTGTAGAATTCGATCTGTTGCAGTTAGACAAAACCGACAATACATTTATCAAAAATATTTTAGATATGAAGAAAAATATTTTTTTTGAAAACAAGTACATTTTATGTTGATATCATCGTCCACTTGGTACCAAATTGAACGGTTGATCTGAAAATCTCCATTTCACGCCATCGTACTCAGCCATATACATTGCTAACGGCGGATAATTTGATACAGTTCGATAGAATGATTCAACATTAGGCTTCACGCCTTTTAATGCATCAGTCAATGCCAATAAACCAGGTGCATGTGTTACAAGAAGTACTGTTCCACCACGATGACCGTATCTGTCAAGTATTCCTCTCATTACAGCAACACTTCGATCGAAATAATCATCTAATGTTTCCGGAACGGAAATATTCGGAATTAACGCTTTATATTCATATTTGATATTATAACTATTGTCCATGAATTCTCTTTTCGTCATAAAACTATCGGTTATTTTATGATTGAGATGAGGACATTCGAATAAACCAGGTTCAATTCGAATTGGAATACGATCGCGACGATCCATACCTAACAAAAGTCAGAACTATTAAAAAGAAAAGATTCTGATCAGTAAATACCAGTTAAAATTCGTTCACAAGTTTGTACACAACGGAGAGCAGTCGAGGATAAGCATACATCGGGTATTAAACCACTGCTTAACAAAGCACGTCCCGCAAGACGAGCGGTTTTCAAGCCGTTAACTAAAAGACGAATATCACATCGAACGAAGGAAAATCTCCAAGAAACATTCCTACCGGTTAATGGAGCGTCGAACAGAAAAGCTTGATCGGATCGTCTTTTTGGTAGGATACGCGGTAGATTTTGATCGTATGGTACATACGAATTTGTACGAAATGCTCGGCTGAACCAATCTGGACCGAGTGCTTGGTTAACGCGTTCACTATGACGCATAAAGATAATTCGGAAAGGTTGTGCAACAGGTGAACCAACTAAGTGTCCCCCTTGCAGTGCTGAAGCAGTGGGACGAGTCAAACGTGCGCCATGGGTCATATTAACCGTAGATGGACGATTTGCACGACGACTAAGCCGAATATGTCGACGGTGAGCATCACTTTCATAATTCGAATCTTCATCTTGATGATTATGAACCGAAATAGTCGAAGGTGGTAAAGTAGAAGATGCATGTGCTCTATGAGCTAATTGATGTTGATCCAAACTATTGATCGTTGGTTTCGATGATTGCGATGCATGACGTCGGACAGATGATCGCGGTGACACCAAATGCTCATAGTCAGTACTACTAAGGTGATGGTGTCTCAATAGATGTCTCCGCGATTCTAACGCTCCATCTGTATCGTATGCTAAATCGGAACTGATTCGATTAGAGAGTAATCTTGGTATGCGGAGAGATGAGGATGGTACATCGTTATAATCAGCTGTTGATTGATGATGATGATTATTCGTACTATTCTGATCCGATATTTTTCGTGTAAGCGAACGTGGATGCCACGAATGATTGACAGTCAATGCTCGACTGTAATCACCTGCATCGGTATTAACTAAAGACCATTCACGTTCCATCATCTCAGTTAAATTCTCAACCATGATTTCACTTTTCTAAAACGACACAATCTGTACACATCTCCGTGAAAAATAAAAACAAACTTATGACATTCGCTTTCTCATTATTAATAATAAAAAAAACTATGTGATTTCGTATATATAGGCTACGGTTCATTGATTTTTTGTCAGTATCATTATGAAATAATGTAAATGTTGACGATGTTTTAGACATACTGTTTAACAAGAGAACGGAAGAGTAAAGGACAACATAAAAAAACAAGATATTATCTTTACCCAGGCATATATCATAAAAATACTAATAAAGACAAAAAAACAACGCAAGAAAGAAGTTCAAATCTTTCACACACATAATTTTATTTCAAGTATAAGTTCGAAGAGATATTGATTAGTCGTACTATATCTTCGTCTATATTCTTATCTTACTTGTCAATGATATCTCTATAGTAAATATAATGTGTTTCTGTCTAATAAGAGAATTGTTAGTCTTTTGATGACAAACGTCCTTCCCGGAAAGTTCTTTTCTCGATGCATAGAACAGGACAAACAAAATTGCGCTTGTTTAACTTCTTTACTCATTGGGATTTGA